ACACGGGCGGGGAGGCGGCCGCCTGCGGACGGTTTACGCCGCGGCGAGAGGGTTACTCCGAGCTGCCGGACCAGTCCCGGTTCACCTATGGTTCGCGGGACGTTGAGGTCTGGTGTGCAGGTGTGGGCGTTTTTTTCTGCCCTCGGTAGGAATATGTCAGAAGACTCACTCTGCACATCCCAAATGGGGAGACCTCAGAATTTCTAGGCCGGAGGCGGCCGCCTGCGGACGGTTTACGCCGCGGCGAGAGGGTTACTCCGAGCTGCCGGACCAGTCCCGGTTCACCTATGGTTCGCGGGACGTTGAGGTCTGGTGTGCAGGTGTGGGCGTTTTTTTCTGCCCTCGGTAGGAATATGTCAGAAGACTCACTCTGCACATCCCAAATGGGGAGACCTCAGAATTTCTAGGCCACTCACTTCGAGAAAACCGCCCTTGAGAGGGGCCGTGTATTGCCCAAGGTGACACGGTGGGAGCAGTGGAGAAATCCTCCGACTTTCCCGTCGGCGCTCTTCCTGCTACACCTGGCCTGCTTAGATTTAGCGTCCCCTCTGCACCTCATGTGATAGTTGTTGCAGTTGGCAAAGGGTGGCTTGTTAAGCCAGAGGCTTGTTCCAGTGCAAATATTTGCAACTTCAAAGAGGAAAAGTGGAGCAGGTGCTACACTAGAAAGTAAAAGTAGCCAGTCCAACTAAGATGATTGTGCGAAGCATTATATTAAGAATTGTATTGGTCTGGTTGGATCTTTTAAACATCTTTTTACAAAATGTTAGAATAGAGAATAGTTGTATCTAGGGAATATCCCTCCGACCCCCATTCTGGGGATTGAACCCGGGGCCTCCTTCATGCTGGGCAAGTGCTTTAGCGCTCAGCTACACCCCCAGCCTTGGGAATGCAGTAGGTACATACTTGAGTGACAGTTTACTGCAGGTGTCATGAGTGAAATGATTTTAGTTACTGTATTACTACGTTTATATGAACTTTGCATAAGAATGCTACTAAATTTATATTTTTTATTCTCTCTTTCAATCTTTTCTTTACACAAAAAGTTGCCAAGAGCAAGTCAAAGTAAGTAAAAGTTTTTAATTTGAATTTTGCTTGTTTGTTAGATTTATTAGCCCAGCTGCTGCCAATATGTCCTTGTGTGTTTAAGCATTTGGCTTTGATTTCGTAAAAGCTGGTTTGAGAGTTACTTATGTGATTATTTTGCCCTTCTCTTTCAAAAACACGGAAGCACCTCAACTTATGATGGGGGTTACCACTGATAAGCCTGTTGTAAGTTAGAAATAATCAGAAACTGAAAATTATAATAAATCTAACTTACAGAACATCATAGCTTAGCAACACCGTCTTCTGTAAGACCTATAGTATATATAGGTCAGTGGTGGTGAACTTACGGCACGCGTGCTGCAGCGAGCTGTTTGTTGTCATTGAACGCTCTGAGAGGTTCGCCATTGCTGGTCTAGGTTATTGGTTGTGGCCGTGATCTTGTGGTGACTGAGAACCACCGCACATCACCAGAGTATCTCATCACTTACTGCTAGCCTGGGAAGACATCAACATTTGAAGTCCAGCTTCTACCGAATGATTTCACACTATGGTAAAACTGAAAAATCATAGATCCAGATGCTTCAGTGAGCATTTGAAAGCTTTGCTTAACTACAGGAGTGCTTCTGTTTTTTCTAGTCCCAGATCTGTAAGTTGACTGTCTTGTTCCTAAAGGAAGCATGGGCCTGTGCTGTTTTGCCTGCCATTGTCTTCCTCTTTCCTCAAACAGTGGACCAGGTGTCATTTGTCAAGAGTCCACTCCAGGAATCTAGCCAAAAAAAACCCAACCTATTATTTTATTACATCCTAGGTGCTTTTTAAAAAATCACTTTTGTATTTGCATTTATAATACAAGCACTCTAAATATGGCAGATGAAAAAAGATTCCTTGGTGTACCAAAGAAACTAGAAATACCAGACTACTATTTCAAAATAATTTTGTTCACAGTAACTGGTGATTTCCTGTGTTAAAGACAGGAAAATTCTATGGGCATGGTAGTGCGTATCTGTAATCCGGCATTTGGGAGACTGAGGCAGGAGAAAAGTGATTTAGCCCAGCCTGGTCTATATAATGGGACTCTATTAAAAAAAAAAAAGTTGAAAATAGCTGTTTTTTTTGGTACCGGGGATTGAACTCGGGGCCTTGCGCTTTCGAGGCAGGCAGTGGAACCACTGAGCCAAATCCCTGGCCCGAAAATAGCTTTTTTTTTAATAACCCAAGACATCAAAAATACCTAAAACTAGAGTTTTTAAAATTAAATGTAGCTGCTGGGGGTTTAGCTCAGTGGTGCTGCTGCCTGTCTCGAAAGCACAAGGACCTGAATTTGATCCCCAGTATAAAAAAAAAAACAAACCAAAAAACAGATAAAATTAAGTGTAGCTGGGTGTGGTGGGGTACGCCTGTAATGCCAGCACTTAGAGGAGGGTGAGGCAGAAGAATTACTGTGAATTCAGGGCCAGCCTGAGCTACAAAGTGAATTCAAAGCCAATCTGAACTAATAGTGTGACCCTGTCTCCAAAAAAAAAAAAATTAAATTTAATGAAAACACTTGTTAATATTTTCCTCCCTGATATCTTTTATTGATTTATGGTTTTCTCATAATCCAGTTGTGTCAAAATTCTCACCCCCAGATTCTGTAGAAGTCTGTAACTTTGGTTTCTGAGGCGTTCCCTGTATCATGTTGCTCGTACCTTCTTGCCACATTTGCTACACATATCTTGTGCGTCACCTTACTTCCATGGCATTAGCTCCTAAAGGACAGACACAGGCATTGAGAGCTTTACTATTCCCAAAATGCTTTCCATAGAGTAAGCACTCGATAGAGATTTGTTGAATCTTTGTAGAATAAAGATTATCATCTATCTTAATCAAATATTGTGTGCCTCTGTGGAAGCACTGTACTGAACATTGAAAGTGATGCAAGGGTATGAAATGTCTTAAATGGTTCAAATTTGTTTTGTACTCACATGAGAAATAACGGTCTGCATGAGGAGCTAAGACACACGATAAAGTAACAGTACAGGTACTAAAAAGTCCAGGGAGGCAAACATGGGCCTTATGATTTGGTTGACTGTAATTTATATGCAGTATGAAGGAGTACAAGCTTTGCACATCAGTGATTTAGAACTTTTAGTCTCTTACTTTTGTCCTTTTCTGATTGTATTCTTATTGCTCGTGCTCTGGAAGAGAGGGCTCTTCTGAGGCAGTCATTTTTACAGTTGCCTGACTAGTCAGTTGTAGTTACCAGTACTTTGTATTTTCCCCTCTTGACATCTGTTCTTTTTTTTTGGGGGGGTACCGGAGATTGAACTTGGGTCCTTACGCTTGCGAGGCAGGTGGCAGAACCACTTGACATCTGTTCTTGAAAGGTAGAAGTCAGGGTAGACCCCTAGTGAGGCTTATTGTTCTTACTCTTTTGGTTAGTTCATTACCAGACTCTCTGTAGGAGGCCAAACTTTGGAATTCAGAATCATTGAAACTTTTTTTGGGGCCGTATTGGGCATTGAACTCGGTCTTGCATGTGCTAGGTGAGCACACTACTATTCAACAACATCCCCAGCCCTGTATTGTTATTTTTTAAATTTTATCTTGAGGCAAATTCTTGCTTAGTTGCCCAGGCTGACCTTGAACTTGAGATCCTCCTGTCTCCGCTCCTGAGTAGCAGGGACAACAGGTTTAAGCCACTGTACCCAGCCTCAGTGTATGTTTAATGGGAAATATAGGCAGTCTTAGAATAGAGCCTTCTTCGGGCCAACTAATGTCCACAACTATATAACTCCACTAAATTCTCCAAATGTGCCATCCCCTCATGACTGAGTTTAGTGTATTTCCTGTACTTGTAACAGTTTACCTTTTAATCTTAGAACTCTTCTGGTGAGAATGGTGAGCCAGGCTGGAACAGGTATTACCTTCAATGCCAGGAGAGGCCGACTCCGGGAGAAACTGACCCTTTTGCATTATGATCCAGTTGGTAAGATTCAGAGAAGTTACTCTGCAAAATGTTTAAATGCTTTCAAGGTCTGTTGCCCACTTTCCAAAATGTCTCTGGTAGTTTTGTGGCCCCTTTGACACTGTAGCGTTCATTGAGCAAATGTGCACTTAATGTTTGTTATGGTGCTAGCCACACCAGGACACAAGGCAGGTTAGTACTGGTGCTCTTGGTACTTACAGTCTGGTTGGGGGAGTGGCATTATGGTGAATGCTCTGAGTGAAATGATGCTGAGGTGTGGGAGGAAGTTGGAGGGAGGCCGGGAGACTTTAGATAGGACAGATTGTGGAAAACTTCTTGAGGTGTAGTTCATCAGCCACATAGAAGATAGGCAGTAGCATTGGGGAAACGAAAAAATTTGGTGGCTTTTTTTCCCCCTTTCTGAGATAGGGTTTGACTTCAACTTGCGATCTTCCTGCCTCAGCCTCCAATTCTGGGATTAGAGGCGTGTGTCACCATACCTGGTTTACAAAGAAATTTTAAGAGAAAGGGAGTGTGTGGTTTTAGAGTGGCAAGTTATGGGCCTCAGATCTGTGATGAAGAAATATAATGTCTTTACATTGGTTCAGGAGAGTGGGAAATTTGGTCTTCCATTTTGTGTCATCCACTAAAATGCTGTAATAAATGGTAACTAGGTCTTAGCAGAGATAAGTATTTGTCTAAAAGAGACTGGTATTCCCAAGGCCAGATTGTCTGCTCAGAAGAACAGTCAGCACCTGATGGCTGTTGGTGGAAGCCCGTTCTGTTTTTCAGTTGATGTGCAGATTTATGCAGAATAATCCAGCATACACACTTTTTTATGTCAGTCCTCTGGATGTTATTTCATTTTTTGTGCTGTTTATAATTGCTTCTTAATAAGAGAAAGGCTGAACTAATGTGAGAAGACATTTATAAAATGCTCTGAGAAGCCCGATTATCAGCTTTAAATTGCTTGAGTTCTGTTCTTTAATAAAAGTAAAATTCTTTGCTGTTTTTTATGGTGTTCATATTTCTGATCATTATTATAATAAAAGGAAATTCTAGGTTATACTTGATTAAAAAAAATCTTAATTTCGGGATAATTCATCTGTTGGAAAAATTATTAGAATGGTAAAGTTTGACACTGGATTGCTATACTGTTATTCTCCCTCTGATTTCTTTATATAGCTGGTAAAAACTCAAAATGATAAACTGTGTAGTAAAGTAATTGTTTTTCTGCTATTTTAGCTCTTTTACCATTTATTTTTAGGAATTTGTGTAGTACTAATGTTGATTGAATAACTTATGATATTTTAAGTATGAAATGTATTAGAGTTTTTATTCTTACTGTGGAGATGGTATTGGGAACTTATTTTTGGTCAGATTGACTTTTAGGATTTGAGATTGGGAAAGGATATAATCTTATACCATTGTGATCATACATAAGAAGTGGGAGAAAAAGATTCACATATAAATTTCTAATAGACAGAACTTTGCTAATAAGGAATGCTCTCAAGTCTTGACAGCACAACGTTATCTTTTCTGAAGAAGTGAACGTTTTGTTTAGCAGAGTGGCTGGGTTTCTGCCCACCTGCTGGATGTCCTGCAGACTTCCACGATGAAGATGTTGGTTTGGCCTGCTCTTTTGCCCAGGGTACCAAGTAGTCTGGTAGTTTCCTCAGCATATTTTATTGCAGTGAGTAAAGTTGGTTGGAGGATATTGTCTTGTTAGTTTATTTTAGGAAGGAAATCAGGAAAGGAAACATTCCCAGTTACCTGAGCATTTCATAGAACACCCTCTGCCAAGAAGTGGCTGCATCTGCCAGTCAGGCTCCTTTTTCTTTTATAAAACTCGATGCTGATTTCCAAGGAGGAAGGATTAAGTGCTGAGGCATAAGCTTATTAAACTTTGTTTATCATAAAGAGAATGAAACTTGTCAGTTTTAATTTCTTGCATGACTAAACAAGACAATAAAGACTTTAATTGAAATAGAATAGATTTAGGTCAGCTGTAGGGAAAGAATTTGACAGATTCATTTTTCTATGAATTAAGCAGCAAATATTGTGACAGAAAATTAACTTATGTTTATGGTTGTAGGTAGCATGGTGTCATTTCAACTCTGCTAATGCATATCGCTTGCTCACTGTGTACCTGGCGGCAGCTCCGTAAAGGAGATTGGAACTGAGAAGGAAACTGAGGGTCGAACATTTTGAGAAGTTTGGCCAGGAACTCAAAGCTGATGCATAGTAGAGCCAAAGTTTGAACCCAATCCTTCTGACTCCAAATCTTGCCTTTTCTGTTACACAGAGCTGACTTCATCTTCTAAAACTTCTAGTTTTGTAAAATCAGAACCACCCTCTGTGGTCACCCTAGCACTCAAGACCTTGGAGCCTGACTGGCATTCCTGCCCCTTCCTGTTTTAGTTCATTCAAATGCTGCTCTCGCTTAGGGGCCAAGCTTTGCCTCTCCTTGAGTGCTCTGTCACCATCGCTGTCCCCTTTGGTCTGTAGGTTCTTAGGGGGTTTGCTGGACATTCGTAGGGGCACTCATGGCGTACTGTTATATTAAATAGGGTTCTCTTACAGTGGGTAATCTCCAGGTATAGTTGCATGGAATAACATATTCATTCTTTGAATTAAAGGGATGGATACAGGGAATGTAAGACTTTTCCTGAATAAAGCTTTGTTTTACTAATTTTAGTTACTCCTGGTTATTTTAATAGTCTCCTAAAACAAGCTCAATGTGGTGGCACACACCCGCAATCCCAGCACTCTGGGCAGCTGAGGCAGGAAGATTGTGAGTTCAAGGCCACTTGGGTTACATAGAGATTTCCAGGCCAGCCTGGACTACATAGTGAGACCCTGTCTCCAAAAAAAGAAAAGTCTCTTGATACCTTTTCAGCGTGACAAGTTCCCTTTTTATTCTTCCCTCCCCACCTTTTTGCGGGTGTTGGGGATTGAACTCAGGGCCTTTGCATTGGGCTATATCCCCAGCCTTTTTGTTTATTTTTAAAAATTACGTTTATTGGAACATTTTAGGTACACACAATGATCACATTCATCATAGGGAATTTGTATCTGTACATGATACACCTTGATTTTTTTTTCCCATTCCCTTTCCCTTCAAACCCTCTACCCCTCCTCATTTACAAAAGCTTTGTTCCATTCTTTTCCTTTTCTCATTTTTTCTTTTCTTCTTTTCTTTGTCCCACCCCTTCCTTTCTTCCCCTTCCCCTTTGAACATTTTCTTCCTGTTTCACAATATTATACATTTTTGTCCTCATTTTGTCCCCAGAGAACCTATTTGGTATCTACACGTGTGTCTGATTTATTTCACTTAAGAGTATGAGTACGGTCTCCAGGTGTATTCATTTAGGTATAAATGTCTCATTTATCTTATGGCTGAGTAGTACTCCATTTTATGAAAAACCCCACATCTTCGTTATTCATTCACCATTGATGGACACTTGAGCTGTTTCCAAGATTTAGCTATTACAAACTGTGCTGCTGTAAATATGGCATCCTAAGCTTTTTACAATATTTTATTTTGAGACAGTGTCTTGCTAAGTTCCTCTAGGTGGGCTCAAACTCGGTGATCTTCCTGCCTTAGCCTCCTAGAGTGCTAGGATCACAGGCCTGTGCCACCATGCCTGGGCCATATTCCCTCCCAACCTGGCTCCCTTTTTGGGGTACTGGGGATTGAACCCTGGGCCTTGCACTTACTAAGCAAGCACTCTACCATTGAGTTACAACTTCAACCCTTTAAACCCAGTTTTAAACTTCCATACAGAGAAACATGAAGGAAATATTTCTTGTAATTAACAAGATTGTTTGATGGGAAAATATCTTGGTTCTTTACTAACATCATATAATGCAAGATGTAATATTTTCGTTGAAGTCTTAGGATGGTTGGTCATACTTATATGATTTGAAGTATGTGAATACTTCCCTTATGTACAATGTCTGTGTTTATATTTTTATTAATTTTAATAGGTATAATTCCATTGGTTAATGGTTCTTAAAGCCACTTTCCCATCAGATTGTCTGTTTATTTATTTATTTCGTTTTTTTGAGACAGAGTCTTACTACGTAGTCCAGGCTGACCTTGAACTCACTGTGATCCTCCTGCCTCAGCCTCCCAATTGCTGAGATTACCGGTGTGCAACATGACACCTGGCTGTAGTTTTAAAAAATATAGTCTTCCAGTTTTACTCTACCGTAATGAACTAAAATTATGATAGGGTGGAGGTGAGAAATAGGAGTGTATTTTAAATAAGTTCCCTAGCTGCCACCTCCCATTCTCCTTGTGGGCAAGTGCTGTTTCACTGAGCTGCATCCCCAGCCCTAATTTGTAATCATAGACAGTTTGGGAATCTCAGGTAGAGTCTCTCTTTGTATGGTGGGGATAAATGCGTTGTTAGGTCACAGCCCTTTGAGTTTCTAGATTTTCCTAGGCTGTGCTTTTTGGTTTATTGATTTTTGGCATTAGGTGGAATTAAGTGGCAGGGAGGAGCTGGGGCATGGGCAGTTAATGGCAGGCCAAGGGGCATCCTGGGAGTATGGAAGCCCTGTTTCCTAGCATCTACCAGGCTTTCCTCCGGGTGGATGGCCCTCTCTTTTGGTTTTGCTTCAGGGAACTACTCTGCAATATGTATAATGTTGGGGTTTTGGTTGTAATACTCTCTTACCAAGCTAGTGTTCATGTGGGGTATACTGAATGGCTCCGGGAGGTAGAGTTGCCACGGTATCTGTTCTTTCCACCAGGCTGTTAGCTCTCTTCTGTGGTCTGCTCAGTTCTTACTGATGTTTTGGAGTCCAGCTTCCAGCCTGCTACAGTGGATCTCTATCAGCTGGGTGGAGACACCCAGTGTTTTCCATTTTTGCTTCTGTTTTTGTATGTGAATATTTCAAGTTGATTGAATATGACCCGAGGGTGCCAGCTATTGAGTCTTCTCTTGTTTTCCTAGCTGTTTCTCCCATCGTCTCTGGGCTCTGTGATTGAGGAGCTGAATTCGCAAGTCCGCTCCATTCTACTGTCACAGGAATAGTAAAATACCAAAAAGCAGAGGCATTTGGGTGCGATACATACTTTTAATAAAAATGATGACATTTGAATTTTCTGCTACAGTCCCTTTTTCTCCCCCCTACAGTGAAAAAAAAAGTCCTCTTTGTGGAACAGAAAAAAGTACGCTCTCTCTAAACAATGGATTGAAATGAATTTGATTTATAAATGAGAAGACTGAGGGCGGGATTCTGCTTCAGAAACCCCACAGCCTGTAATAAAAGAAGAGGAAACGGCATGGCATCAACTGCCTCCTGTGATTTGGAGGCCATTGTGAAAGGGAACAATGTGGTGAAAGAAAGTTCTCCATATTAGGACAAATATCATTGTATCACATTTATTTGTCTTTCTGGATATTTTTATAGCCCTTAATAAAAATATTAAAATAGCCTGTGCTATTGTCTCTTAGTGATGTCTTCCTCCACTATTTGAAATTTAGAAATCAAACACATTACCAAGAAATAGACATTGTTTCATATAATAAAAGACGTTTTTCCATGATGAGACCTGTGTAAGAGCTTCTAGGATGCTCCTCCTAGTACTTCATAGAAAAGGTAGAATAGCACTCCAGGTGATCTTAAAAAAACTCCCATGTAATAACAGTGGGTTAAAGATGGATGACAGGGTGAACAGGAAGGATGAGAAAGGAAACAGAGAACTTAGGGTTTTGATTTGTGCTTGTATAATTAAGAAAAATGCCATTGATTCCTATTCTTAATCCCAGATCACCAAAGCAGTAGCTAGGAATTTTTAGAGACAGCTTTGGACTCCTTATCCTCTAGATCTCTAAGAGGAGGCTGGCCATGGTGGCACACACCTGTAATCCCAGTACTCCAGAGGCTGAGGCAGGAGGATCGCTGAGTTCAAGGCCTGCCTGGGCTACACAGTGAGACCCTGTCTCAAATCAGCCAACCAACCAAACAAGTAAACTAAGTGGAGCTATATTATGTTTCCATAAAGCTACTCTACTCCTAGGCTTCTGGAGCATGGTGGCTAGAGCTAAACTAGCTTGGAAATTCCACTGATAATCCTGAAGTTCAGATAAGAGCGACAGTACTGCCGGGCTTGGTGGGGCACACCTGTCATCCCAGCACCAGGAGGCTGAGGCAGGAGGCTCGCTGTGAGTTTGAGACCAGCCTGGGCTACATAGTGAGTTCCAGGTCAGTCTCACTACATAGTAAAACCCTGTCTCAAAAAAAAAAAAAAAGGAGTGACAGTACCGCCCTGCCCAGATGCATGTACTTTCTCAGGCTATTGTTTCCTGAAAATTTTCAAAACCAGTTTTTCCCTTTATCTTTCAAATTTCTTTCTGAAAGGGTCGTCTAAGAAGCACATGGCTTTTTCCCTTTAAGCTTTACTAGTTTACGTCCTACCTCAGTGAAAACCCTTGTGTGGGAGAATGATAAAGAATGCTCAGCCTGGCCAAAGCATTAAGAAACCAGTGCTGTCCCAAAATAACAGGTGTTCCCTCCCCAGGCCCAGTCTATGCCTCTTGAAGAAACACAAGAGTAGCTTTGTGGAGATGGAATTAGATGTAAACAGTTGTTGAGTCTTAAGTGCTGTGGCATTATAGTCAGCTATTTTATGGCATCTTTTATGAAAGCTCTGGTTCAAAGCAGTAACAGGTGAGATCTTGGCTATTTTTAGGTTGAAATTGTGTACAACAGTCCTGGATAACAAGGAAAATCTTTTATATGATCCTAGCTAAATCAATGTAAAGGGTCTGTGCCATACTCCGATCATTTTAGAAAACAAAAGCCTTAACATCTGGCCTAACAGATGACCTGTTTATCCAGCCCTTAAGCCAGATGTGAGTGTTCACATCTGTTGCTGACACACTGAAATATTTCAATAAATACTCAAAGTTCTGGCTTACTGTATCACAGGTTTGACAACTTAGCTTTACTTTGGCAGTCTTTCTTTTTGGGTATGGGGATTGAACTCAAATCCTTGTGCTTGCAAGGCAGGTGGTGGAACCACTGAGCTAAATCCCCAGCCTTTTTTTTTTTTTAAAGGGGGAAAGATTTATTTAGCTTACTGTTTGTAGAGGTTTCAGTCCATAATCAGCTGGCTCCAAGGCAGGGTGGCAAAAGGGCAACAGTTCATGGCAACCCAAAGGTGGCAAAGCAACAAGAGAATTTAACAGCAACTTTTATTCAGACAACTGGGATTAGGGTGGTGCCAAACCATCGTGTGGTGGTTTAATCACATGTTCTTAATCCTAGCACCAAAGTCTCTAGATTCACCCACTTCTGAAAAAGACTGCATGAAGCTTTGGGGGGACATCTAGACAAGCCATAACATTCTGCCCCTGGCCTCCCAAAGACTCACGCATATCTCTTCATGCAAAATGTAAAAAAAAATAGCCCATCTCTAAAAGTTGCCAAAGTCCTAACAGTTTCAGCATTGCTGAAAAGTTCAAATCCAAAGTCTCTGAGGTTGAAAGCAGACCGTTAGCTGCAAGCCTGTACAAATGAAAAGAAAGTTAACACTTCCAACATTCAATGGCACAAGATAGATACTATCATTCCATAAGATCATGGACAGGATACAAGAAGTAGGAACAAGTCAAGTCCAAAATCCACCAGGGCAAACATTAAATCCCACAGTTCCACTTCTAGCATCCTTGGCCATCTGTGTGGCAAGTTGTGAACTCCAAAGGGCTTTGGTGACTCCGCCCCTACAGCACTGCTGGTGGTTGTAGCTCCAGTGGCTTCTCTCTTGGGCAGGTTCTGACCCCTCTTTGAAGTTTTCCTCAGATGATCCATGGTCCTGGCTTCTCCAAACTTCTCAGTTCTCCACTGCACCTTTGATTTCACACTCACAGCTTCACACACAGCCCTCTTGGGCACACTGGATGGCCTTGGAGGCCTTCTTCCGAAATCTGGGTGGAAGCCTTCCTAACCCCACAACTCTTCCATTCTGCATGTACCTAAAACCATTGCCATGTGGATGACTCGCTGGAGCAGTAGTAGCCAGTCTTTCCACTCTCTTGGATGTAAGGGTTGAGAATCTGGATGGCTGAGCACTCTAAATCCAATTGGAGGGGCAAATTCGTTAGGGTGCTGCCATTCTGGAACATGGTGCTCTGGATCTCATTTCTCAAAGCAAAGTCTTCCACCTGTGCAATTTTGAAGCTGCAAAGGGTGGAGTCCTGCTGCTTCTTGTATGCCCTCAGGCCATCTTTTCTATTCTGTTCCTTCTCAGCAGTCAAGATCTCTGCTGTGTTTTTGCAGTCCACAGCTTTACTGGAGCTTCCTTTCTGGCCAAACTCAAAATCATTCTGCTGGGCTTTTGCTCTTGATTCTCAACACAGATTTGGCCAGAAGCCCCCAACAGCAGCCATGCCAGGGGCTCAACGTTAGCATGCTTTGAAATTTCTTCTGTGAGATTAAGTAATCCACCACCCTTAATCTCAGTCTCAAGCAGTCTCTGGACATGAGCAAAATGCAGACAAACTTTCTGCTAACCCATAACACACATGTCTGGAGTCCAACAGCCAGTGCAATCCTTCCTAGCAGAAACATCACCAAGCCTGGACCTTACAGCTTCTGATCTGAGTGATGACCAGAACTTCCCATACAGAACAGCCTAAGGTATTCTAGCTCTGCTTCTTCAGCCAGCATCTTTGAATCTTTCTTAACTCTTCTTCCCACAAGCCAGTTCCAAAGGTTTTTGAGCCTCATGGTCAGTAATGTCACAGCAATGACTCGACTTTTCTGGTACCAAATTTTGTCTTAGTTACTTTTCTCTTGTCACTGAGACAAAATACTCAACACCCACAGGGAGAGGGGAAGGGGTTTATTTAGCTTACAGTTCACAGAGGTTTCAGTCCATAATTGGCTGGCTCCAAGGCAAGGTGGCAGAGGGGCAACAGTTCATGGCAGCCTGAAGGTAGCAAAGTAGCAAGAGATACTTTGACAGTCTTAAGTTCAAGAGTACCAGATGCCTCTCCCAGAAGGTGCATGGGAGATCATTCCTATGTCCCTTTGCTTTCTTGGACATTCTCTGCTCTGGCGCTCAACACCTGATGGCAACCCAATAAGATGGCAAAGCAGTAAGAGAATTTAACAGGAACTTACTCTTTTATTTGGACTACTGGGATTAGGGTGGTGCCATACCATCGTGTCACTAATCACACATCCTTAATCCTAGCACCAAAAGCTCTAGATTGTGGTGCACACATAACATTAACAATACGTTGACAATAGCATTTGCTGGCCTTGAAGAGTGGTAATGTTTGCACAGATATGGATTATGGAATCCAATTGTAGTTGCCTGGAATGCCTGGAAAGTAAAAGGATTGTTATTTACAAATGAAAGCTTGAAGATTTAGTAAATGGGCATAATATTTGCAAAGAAAAAAAGGTTTTCTAGTAAGTGTTTGCTAAGATTGGCCACCCACAAATACATTTTATTTCCAGGTATATTTATTTGGGGGTTAACAGCATTCAAAACAGAGTAAGTGGAAGGTCTTTTTTGTATGGATAGGATGACTGTGTTCCTGTGGTCTTGACGCTCACTGCTGCGATGAAATTGGATCTCTTGAGCATTTCTTCCAAGGACAGATTTGGGTAGTAAGCCAGGTAGAAGGCCAAGGCTCCCACAAAACTGTCACCAGCACCCTGTAACAGAAAGCACAGTTGTGAAGATAAGCAGATAGTCAATCTTGCCCAGTGTATTTTAAAATTACTTGAATAAATAAAGATGTACAGAAAAGATACAAGTGCAGAAAGTTTCCACATACCTCTAATATCTTATGGTGATATGTTCACTATAATTAATGAGATAATATTGATATATTAGCTGAAATCCATACTTTATTCAGATTTTTAGTTTTTGCTTAATGTCCTTTTTTTGTTTCAGGATCCCGTCCAAGATAACAATTTACATTTAATTGTTGTGTTTTCTTAGACTCCTTAGATTACCACTTTCTTAGACATTATTTTTGATGACTGATAGTTTTGATGAAGACTGGTCAGGAATTTTGTAGAATGGGTTTCAATAGGGATTTGTCTGTTTTTCTTATGGTTAGAGTATGATTTTGGTTTTTGTAAGGAAAACCATTCTTGCCGTATCAAGTGTCTGTACTACCAACACGACCTGTCACTGATGTTAACCTTGGTCACCTGGCTAAAATAGGCTTTGCCATGTTTCTCCTCTGTGAAGTCACTTGCTTTCTCTTTTCATATTGTATTTCTCTGAGGCAAATCCCCATGTGTGTACCATTCTTAAGGGGTGAGAAGATATACCTGAAGTTATGCTGTGTTTCCTTGAGGGTAGAGTATTGATGTAAACTGTTTTGAATTATTCTGCATGTGAGATCGGTCTCTTTTCTCCTATTTATCCAGTCGCTTATTTATATCAGTATGAGCTCATGGATATTTATTTGGGCAATTACCCAATACATTATTTTGTTGTTCAAACTGTTCCAGCCTTGGCCACTGGGAGCTTTTTTCATTTGGCTCCCAGGCCCCCACATACACACGGCTCAATCATTCTGTTTTTGAAAGCTTGCTTTCTTGTATATTACAAGATGCCCCAGGCTTATCTTGTATATTCACTGCCTAACCCCAGAATTAGTCATTTCTCCATTACAAATGCATGTAGAGTGGTGAGAGACGTTCAGATGTTATCCTTAAACCAACTACAGGGGCTTGGCTGATTTCTTTCCATTTTCCACTATCCAAGTCGGAGAAGGACATAGAGAAGCAGAGAGAAAACACCATGAAGTCTATTGTCCTCTGCCTCCAGATAGGGAGACACCTCCTCGTGTGTTCATCTGACAGCTATGCTTAAAGCAATTTAAGTGTCACCACACAGTCTCACTTGAAAAAATGCTGGCATTCAACACCTGTCAGGAGCATTTCCAGTTTTTCACTGTTGCTGGTTCCTTAGACCCAAGACTCGAATAACAAATCCTGAGGCTGTTGTTCAGCTCTCCCCGGACTGTGTCAACTATAGCTGAAGTACTCAGAGAGCCATGTGCTCAGCACAGTGTCAGGCAATAGGAAAGAAGCGAAATCCACCGTAGATTAAGGGCTGACTACTGTGGGAATTCAGAACTGCGTTAGATATTATGATTGGAAGAAAGCCTCCTTTGAAGAAGGAAGTCCTTATAGTCCAAGCCAGATTTCTAGAGACAAGGCAGGTCTTAAAGAACAAAGATATGAGAGGAAGGATCAGAATGAACAGAAATCCAGGTGTAGTGGCACACACCTGTAAACCCAACACTCTGGGACGCTAAGGCAAGAGGATCGCCAAGTTCGAGGCCAGCTTGGGCAATTTAGTAAATCTCAAAATAGGAAATAAAAAGGGTGGGGGGATGTAGTTCGGTAGTAGAGTGTCCCAGGTCAAATCTCCAATACCAGGGGGGAAAAAGCCATGGAAAACTCTTAAGACTCCAAATCCTGAGTCCTCCTTACATTACACACAAAATTAAATGACAGGCAGGTCAAGTGGCTGTGGTAGTCCATGCCTGGCCCAGTGTTCTGGAAGCTGAGGCAGAAGGATCACAAGTTTTAGAGAATTACTGAGATCCTGCCTCAAAATACAAAAGAGCTTACTGTACTTTTTCCATAAACATGTCTTATTAGTACAGTACACATGAATTTTACAGAGCATTTGGTTTTGTTGTTGTGTGTGCCCTCTGACTGAACAACCCTGGTCCTAGGACTTCAACAGAATCTGAAGTTCCTCTACCTTAGGGATCTACACACAGATATGCCAACGGCGGCATTGTCTCTGAAGGCAAACCACTGACTATCAAGTAGGAGGATGGGTGAATAAATGATATATTCTTATTATGGAAAAGTATGCAGTTTATGCAGGAGAAATGTCCATTAGTTAAACTAAAAAAGGTGTCGGTAGAATCTCATTTGGAGGGGAATGAGAGAAGGAAAAAAGAAAAGTACCGATATTATATGAGTGTGCATGTATTTTTTAAGAACACAGAAGAATAAAGATAGATATGTATCAAGTTGCTACATTTGTTTTTCTTATTTGCAGGGTATGAGGGCAGTATTCTTTTTACCTTTATCTTGATTTGCTATAAGCTTATAATAATTTTTTAAAACAAATCTAAGATAGTAAAAATATATAATGACCTCTGTGGCTCCTTTTGACCTTGCAGCTTGACCAAACAGGGCACATGGCTGAGGGGAAACATTCTTGCATCATGGACAGGAATTAGTTTACATGCTTCTGCTGGCTAACAGGGTATTTAGCTGGCTGCAGACAAGACTTTCAAAAAAAAAGTTTAGAACAGTTATACCATGTCCCAAGTTCTCATCTGTGGAAATCAATTAAGTCATTCTTGTAGAAGAATGGAATGAGCAGCGGTCACTAGAGACTGGGGAGGGGGCAAGGACATAAGTTAATAAAGGACATCAAAACACAGAGTGGAGGAATTTTGGTTCTTCTCTGGCACAGTAGGGTAGCTAGCTGTTAAAACAGTCTATGATCTAAAGTGACTAGAAGAGGGTGACGTTCCCAGTGCAGGACAGTGATGAGGGCTGAAGAGGTGGAAATGCTCATCACCTTGATTTGATGATACACATTGCATTCCTACACCGAACTTCCGGAAGGTACCCAAGAAGGATGTACTAACATTATGTCTCAATTTCAGAATTTATAAGAAAAAGTAAAGGAAATATTTTGATCCCGGTACCAAAGCAAGCAAGCAAGCAAGCAAGCAAGCAAGCAAACAAACCAACAAAAAACAAAGTAAAGGAAATATTGTTCTGGCATGTGAAAACATCCTATTAGAACTGTTTAAATTGCTTTTCACCATTGCCAAAGCCAGTGAAGCAGTTTGGCAGAACTGCATATGCTACAAGCATGATTTGGGCATCGAGGATTTTCACAACTGGATTTCTTTTCATTCACAGTACTCTGCACTACTGAGAGACAGCAAAATTAAGTTCTTCCTGTACTAAAATGGGAGGGAGGGTTCCAGATAGAATGGCTGTCATCAAAAAGATAACAACTGCTGGTGAGGATGGGGAGAAATGGGGAGTTCTCACGTGCTGCTGGTGGGACTGTAAGTTAGCACAGCCATCATGGAAGACAGTGTGGACAGTTCTCAATGAACTAAAACTATCCTGTGGCCCAGCAGTTCCACTACTGCATATACACCCAAAGGAGGTGAAATCTTTACACGAAGAAGACACTTGCACCCCTGTTTGTTGCAGCACTAATTACAACAGCCCAAACATGGAGCCAACACAAATGCCTTTCAATGGAAGAAGAGAGAGAGAAAATATGGCACTTTTATACAGTAGAATGCTACTCAGTCACAAAAAAGAATGACATTCTGTTATTTACAGCAACATGGATGGAAGTAAAAAATGTTATGCTGAATGAAACAAACCAGACATGGGAAGACAAATAGCAGATGTTCTCACGTATGGAAAGCAGTAAGTCAACCTGTACCAGTACGAGATGAAACGCAGACACTAGTGACAGGGCAGGGGAAGCAGAAAGAAATTAAAAGGAACTGAAGTATTGCGTCATGAGGGCACTGACCTCACTGAAATCCACTGATGGGCTCATAGCTGAACGGCTGTGAGGAGGCGAGGCTTAGTTGGAGGAAGTGGGTCACTGGAGTTGTGCCTTTGCAGGGTATGTGTTGTCCCTACCCTCCCTCGGGCCCTTTCCTGGTCTGTCTGTGGCCCGGTGCCAAAAGGTGAGCAGCTTTGCTCTGCCACTGCTTTCTGCCCCGATATTTCTGCCTCATCATGAGGTGACCCTGGACTGAAATCTCCGAAATCATGAGCCAAAATACCTTCTTCCGTGTTTTTCTCAGGTGTTTGGTCACAGAGATGAGATGCTGACAAACGTGCTGGGTCGGGGTGGGGGATTTAGCTCAGTGCCACTGCCTGCCTCACAAGCACAAGGTCCTGAGTTCAATTCCTGGTACCAGGAGAAAAAAAAAAAAAGAACATGCTGTGTTAAAAAATATATAAATTCGGGCCAGGGATTTAGCTCAGTGGTTCCGCCACCTGCCTTGCAAGCACAAAGACCCAAGTTTGATCCCTGGTACCAAAAAAAAAAAAAAAAAAAAAAAA